TGGGGCTAAACCACAACATTTTGTTACTGTATGGCAGGATGAGTTTTTCCCAGAAATTATATAAACTTAGCTATAGTGTTATAAAGACCACTGAACAGTGATCCAAGCTCTAGTTCCCTACAGACCGTACCCCAGTGAAATCTCTGTGACCTGCAGTAGACAGCACTGAACCAGGGAGAATTCAAGTGCAAATTTCAGAAGTTCCATTGCTTAGTGTGGGGATTTTGGTTTCATTTACTGCAGATCTATTCATATCTTGAGTAATGGTTTAGATTTATCTTTATGTGAATGAATCCAGATCATAAAGCCATTAATGTATGCAAAATCTTTGAAAGAACAGCAGCCAAAAAAGGAAAAAAGCGATGATAGGGATTCATTACAAAATGCATTTAAAGAATTTGTGTCTCATTAATGAAATACCAATTACCATGAAGAAAACAGACTGTAAATAATGGGGGACTGTAAAATAGATTGTCCCAATTTGAACTGATAGGAAACAGCATTTATAATCATACCTGCCATCCTAAGTCTCGGAAACTCACGTAAAGTTCATGTTTCTTACATGCTTGCTTTTGCTCGCTTGTGTTATAATCTACAGGAAGAAAATAATAATAATAAATTGTTTAGAAGCATTGCTAGAACCAACAAAATCTATCTATTTTTAAGCTCCTGACCAAACTGTACAAAGGAAAGGAACAAGCATACTGTCATTTATATTCCTAGGGTTGGTTGTAAAGGCAGTGTAAACTTGGAAATGCAGAATCAGCAGTGTCAGCCTGATACAGTTTGTGTACACAGACAAAACGATGCATTCAGCATTAGAGGAAACAGGTTCACAAGATGTCTGCTGGCTAGATGGGTAACAACTCTGATAATATACACACAGGTAGTCAAAGGAGGACAAGTGAGAGCCTGATCCAAGATATGGGAAAGTCATCTGTATGTTGGCACAGGTTTAATTGCAGGGTAAAGAAAGTAGCCCAATTCAAAATATAAATTAACAATGATAAAAATTGTCCTGAAACAACAGAATTTCCAAAAATCTGTTATTTAAACATTAGCACATTTTGTAGTCCTTCATTTTTTACCATATTTTCTAGAAATATTCACCACTTGATAATCTTTTGTTGGTAATACTAATGTAAACAAGTAGACTAACAGATGCTCTTTAAAGGTCTGAATGTTTCTGCACTGTCAGAGATGTGTCAGGATAGAAGGACACAGAGAACCTTCCATACACGCTTCTCCATGACAACCTTAATCCTGGAGAAAATCTAGTACTTGTTCCTTACTGCCCCTGAGTAACAGGAAAGGAAGGGAATAGGGTCACTCGTTCACCACATTAGCAGCCCAGAGCTGGTTTATAGTGCAATTCAAGTGATGCCATCAGTGAGGCGTGCAATGGAGAGGGGAGGACAGGCTGTCTCCTCTGGTTCCATTTCAAGAATGCTTAAAGTGGCTTTTTTGGACCAAAATAACCATTCTGGCAGGAAAAAATAAGTTAGCTGAAATTCACAAGAACAACAACAAAAACCAAACAAGGAAGATACTGAAAAAGAAACAAAATCTTCATTTTCAGGAATAGAAATTTTTTTAAGGAACAGTTTTTTAACATTAAAAGACTTAAGGCTCGGATGGGAGGGTGTCCATTGGAAAATTTCTGGAAAATTTAGAGAGGCCTTTTTCACATAAAATGAAAGGAAGGGAGTTCTACGGTCTGTGAGATAACCCAGTGTAGTGCTTCATTATCGTTGCAGAAAACTCTTCCAAATAGCTGACCTAAAGGAGCTTTTTTGCAAATTTACCAACTGCTTCTTGTCAGCTGTCCTGATCTGCACTACCATTGCTTCTCTGGGTTCTCTTCTGTTCCTCTGTGTCTTTCTGAAGATGTGATGACGAAACTGAACACAGTGCCAAAAAAAGTAAAATAATTATTTCTTACGATTTCCAGGTTATTTTCTAGCAGTATATCCCAGACCAGGAATTTTGCAGGAAAACCACACTGTCAAATGATCAGCTTCAGATCCTTTCTTTATATACTCCTGCCTAGTCACCTTAGGATTATGTTGTATTTATGCAAATCAATGAATAAAGAATAGGTTGGGGGTGAGGATGTTGATGAGAACTGCAGCATGATGGGACTGCAGCAACCATGATAAGGTGGAATTAAAAGGTTCTGAGAGAATCATAGAATCATTTAGGTTAGAAAACACTTTTAAGATCATCAACTCTGTTAACCTAACACTGCCAAGTCTGCCACTAAACCATGTCCCTAAGCACCACATCTACACATCTTTTAAATACCTCCAGGGATGGGGACTCAACGACATCCCTGGGCAGCCTGTTCCAATGCTCAATAACCCTTTCAGTGAAGAAATATTTCCTAATATCCAATCTAAACCTCCCCTGGCACAGCTTGAAGCCATTTGCTCTTGTCCTATCACTTGTTACTTGGCAGAAGAGACCAACACCCACCTTGCTGCAACCTCCTTTCAGGTAGTTCTAGAGAGCGATAAGGTCTCCCCTCAGCCTCCTTTTCTCTAAGCTAAGCAACCCCAGTTCCCTCAGCCACTCCTCATAAGACTTGTGTTCCACATCCTTCACCAGCTTCGTTGCCCTTCTCTGGAAATGCTCCAGCACCTCGATGTCCCTCTTGTACTGAGGGGCCCAAAACTGGACACAGTATTCCAGGTGTGGCCTCACCAGTGCCGAGTACAGCGGGACAATCACCTCCCTGCTCCTGCTGGCCACTCTATTTCTGATACAGGCCAGGATGCTGTTGGCCTTCTTGGCCACCTGGGCACACTGCTGGGCGAACGTGCACTGCTGGCTCATGTTCAGCCAGCTGTCTACCAACACCCCCAGGTCCTTTTCTGCCAGGCAGCTTTCCAGCCACTCTTCCCCAAGCCTGTAGCGTTGCATGGGGTTGTTGTGACCCAAGTGCAGGACCTGGCACTTGGCCTTGTTGAACCTCATACAGTTGGCCTCGGCCCATCAGTCCAGCCTATCCAGATGCCTCTGTTTGCCCCCACATCCAGTAAGGAATGGAGATTCTCCTTAGCCCTCCTTTTGTGGCTAATGTATTTAGAGAAACATTTTTTATTGTCTTTTATGGCAGTAGGCAGATTAAGGTTTAGCTGGGCTTTGGCCCTTCTAATTTTCTCCCTGTGTAACTTCACAACATCCTTGTAGTCATTCTGACTTGCCTGCCCCTTCTTCCAAAGGTCATAAAGTCTCCTGTTATTCCTGAGTTCCAGTCAAAGCTCTGTGTTCAGCCAGGCCAGTCGTCTTCTCCACTGGCTCATCTTTTGGCACATGGGGACAGCCTGCTCCTGTGCCTTTAAGGCTTCCTTCTTGAAGAATGTCCAGCCTTCCTGGACTCCTTTGTCCTTCAGGACTGCCTCCCAAGGGATTGTCAGACAGTCTTCTAAACAGGCCAAAGTCTGCCCTCCGGAAGTCCAAGGTGGCAGTTCTGCTGACCCTCCTCCTTACTTCTCCAAGAACCAAAATTCTATCATTTTGTCAGTGCTATGTCCAAGATGGCCTCCAACCATTACCTCACCCACAAGTCCTTCTCTGTTTGCAAACAACAGGTCTAGCGGGGCACCTTCCCTAGTTGGCTCACTCACCAGCTGTGTCAGGAAATTATCTTCCACAGACTCCAGAAACCTTCTAGACTGTCTCCTCTCTGCTGTATTGTATTTCTAGCAGACATCTGGTAAGTTGAAATCCCCCACAAGAACAAGGACTAGCAATTGTGAGACTTCTCCCAGCTGCTTATAGAATATTTCGTCTGCCTCTTCATCCTAGTTGGATGGTCTATAACAGACTCCCACCATGATATCTGCCTTGCTGGCCTTCCCCCTGATTCTTACCCATGAACGCTCAAGCCTAACATTACCATCATTACGCTCTAGACAGTCAAAACACTCACTAACGTACACGGTTACCCCAGGACCTCTCCTTCCTTGCCTATTCCTTTTGAAGAGTTTACAAAGATATGATGAAAATCAACAAAAGCATTGCAACTCTGGACTTCAGGAGAACAGATTTTAGCTTGTTCAGAGATCTTCTTCACATGATCTCATGGGAGACTGGCCTGGAGGTCAAAGGAGACCAGGAAAGCTGGCTGATCTCCCAGGACAACCTCTGAGAGAAGCACAAGGTAAGTCCACTCTTATGTGCAGGTCAGGCAAGTATGGCACAAAGCCACTGTGGTTGAATAGGAAACTCTTCACTGAGCTCAAATTCAAATAAGAAGTAAAAGTAATGTGGAATTGGGGTGAGCTACACAGAAATAATATAAACACATTACCTAAGTGTGCAGGGATGGATGTTAGGAAAGCCCAAGCATAGCTGGAGTTGAAAATTATAAAGGATGTGAAGGTCAACAAGAAGGACTTCTATAGGTACATTCATAGCAAAAAGAAAAACTAAGAAAAATACAGATTCATTGTTCAGTAGGACAGAGGACCTAGTGACAAGGACTCACAACAGGTTAAGGTACTCAATGACTTCTTTGTCTTGTTTTTTGCTGGCAAGATTTACTCTCAGGACTCCCAAGTCCCTCAGCCTAGTGACTGAAGCTCTACCCACAGTAAAGGAAATAGGGTTAGGAACCACTTAAACAAATTGAAGATACACAAGTCAATGTGAGCAGAAGGGATGAATTTCAGGGTGGGGAATGAGCTGACCAACATTAATGCAAAGTCACCCCCTGCCATTTTTGAGTGTTCATAGTGGCTGGAGGATATTTCTGGTGATTCAAAAAATGGAAAATGTCTTGCCTGTCTTCAAGAAGGGCAATCAGCTTAACCTCAGTTTCTGGGAAGTCTGTGGAGTAAATCATCCTGGAAGCTGTATCTAGGCACATGAAGCACAAGAAGGTGTTTGGAAACAGTCAGCATGGATTTACTAGGCCAAACTGTGCCTAACCAACCTGATTGTTTCCTGTGATGAGCTGACTAGCTTTGTGGGCTTGTAAAGAGCACTGGGTGTTGTTCACTTTGCTTTTAGGAAGGTTTTTGATACAGTCTCCCATTGTTTTTGTATAGCCAAATTGGTCAGATACAGTTTGGATAGGTAAAGAATATAATGGATGGAAACTTGGCTGGGCTGCTGAGCTGAAAGGGTCTTGATCAGTGGTCAAAGTCCAGCTGGCAGCTGGTTACTAGGGATGTCCCTAAAGGATCAGTACTGGTGCCAATACTGATTAATGACTTTGTTAGTAACCTGAACAATAGCGCAGAGTGTGTTCTCTGCAACTTCACAGAGGGTACCAGATCTGGGAGTAGTGACCAATCATCCAAACTACTAATAAAGTGTTGGACTGAATCAGATCCAGAAAAGGCTTAATGAGATGTCATTCAAAATACCCACCCAAATTTTACTTTTATTGGTAACATGTTCTTTGAATATGCTCTTTCTTTTTTTTGAACAGGCTATGTACCCACTTTCTGTTGAATATACCTGAGCCCAGATATATCTCCTGAAACTGTCAAAAGCTGTGCACACGTCAAGATATAGCCAATTGTAGTACTAAATAATTTTTGTAGTACCACCAGGGATATTAACCTAGGCTTTCTAAGCTCT